ATGTGGAGGGAGTGTTAGAGGCCGACGCTCCCTCCCCCCGCCAGAGAGATTGGGAAAGCACCCACTTTTCTGTCCTGTGTTGAGTCCGACCCCTTTGGCATCTGAGCGAGTGCTCGGCTTTGCCTCCGCGCCCCACCAGCGGGGGGAGAGGCTTCCACGGGGCCCAGCCACGCACAGATGCACCCGCGCGGGGCACCCACTCACCTGTCCTGTCCCAGCGGAGCCCACCAGTTGGTTCTCACCTGGCCCTTCCGCCACACCACGGATGGCGCGGCCAGGTGGAAGCCCGAGCCTTCACCTCCAGGCCGCCCTTTAGTGCAGCGCTGCAGGCGTTCCTTCTCTCCCGGCCGCCCACTCGCCCTGATGCCTGTGCATCTTCGTTGGCATTCTCAGGTTTTCCCCATTTCCCCTGCCTCCTGCCCACTCTCACTTCCCCTGGCCCCCTTCAGATACGGAAACCAGGAAGTTAGCTGCCACCTCGACTCCTAGGAAGCATTGCTACCTACTTTTAAAAAAATTACATGTTATTGATTTTAGAGAGGAAGAGATAGAAACATCACTGATGAGAGAATCATTGATTGGCTGCCTCCTGGGGATTGAGCCCCCAACCCAGGCATGTGCCCTCGGTCAGAATCGAACCCAGGACCCTTCAGTTCGCAGGCCGACACTCTATCCATTTAGCCAAACCAGCCAGGGCCTTTTTTTTTTTTTTTTAATACCTCCTGCAAGCCTCCTGTTGGGGATTGAGCCTGCAACTTGGGCATGTGCCCTGACCGGGAATCGAACCAGGGGCCTCTTGGTGCCTGGGACCACCCTCAACCAACTGAGCCACACCGGTCAGTTGTGGAGTTTTGGTCACAGTACAAGCCCTCTTCTAGGCCTCTGGGAGGAAAAGAGAGAAGAGAGCGTGGTACGATGTGAGGACAAGAAGTAGAGTTTCTGGTTCTGCACCGACTTGGCCTTCCTGTCCCAGTTCTGTTCCAGTCTGTGCCTTATTTGAGGTCCCGGGAAATGATACTTGGTGGTTGGCCAGTTTCTTTGGTGACAGGTCCTGGAGTTCATGGTGAGCCTCTGTTTGCTCCACTGGGCTTGGGGGGACACCATTTCTTTTTTTCTCAGGCTCCATCCACAGGTCTGCAGTCTGTGCTCAGAGTCAGCAGAACTCACCGTGAAAGTGATGCGTTTTCTCCAGTTGCACAAAATGAGCGTGCGGTGGTTAGCCAGACCAGGAGCTCAGCCTCGTGGAGAGTCCAGGTGGGAATGGGCCCCACTGCAGGGAGTTAGCCCTGAGGGCAACTGGCGGAGAAGTCAGCTGGGGAAAGATTCTTGTCCTCTCTAAATAAGGGAGGAGGTCTCTTCTAAAGAACAGTCATGATGCTGCCAGTACTTTGTGGGAGTGATAGGACTTTTGAGCCCTTTTGATGGCAACACTGGGAAACAGCAGCATGGAGCCTGTTGGCACTGGACGTGCTGCTTGGTTACCTAGTGAGGCGGGCATTGGTCCATTGCGCCATGGAGGTGCTCGCTGGGCCTAGTACTGGCCAACACTCCACCTGGGCGCCTATCCCTGTTGGTTGAGATAAATTTGAATACAAAGAGGGGATCACGTGTTTCCTCATTAGAAAGGAGCAGTTTGGGGTTTCCAGTTGTGCCCTGATGGCTCCGTCCCCTCTGAGGTGCTGCAGTGCTCAGCTCTCTGATCTCCCATGTCCTTTCTCTTTGCAGCCTACTGTTCTGATGCGGAAGGGGAGGCAGAAAGTGCCACATTTGGATGCCCCTCTGGGCCTGTCCACCTGCCTCTGGCTGGAATTAGCTGGACTCTTCTTACTGGTTCCCTGGGTCATGGGCCTGGCAGGGACAGGTGGGCCTGAGGCCCAGAGCCCAGGGGCGCTGAGTTGGGCTGTGCATCTGGGCAACCTGGAAGGCAAGGGGCAGGAGGAGACTCTGGAGCAAAAGGCAGATGCCTTGGCCCAGGCAGCAGGACTGGTAAATGCTGGGCGCATCGGGGAGCTCCGGGGGCACTACCTCTTTGTCCAACCAGCTGGGCACCAGTCAGACCAGCAGGTAGAGGCCATCCGGCAGCAGGCGGAGGCCGTGTTAGCCAGACATGAAGCTGTGCACTGGCACTCAGAGCAGAAACTGCTAAAGCGAGCCAAGCGCAGCGTCCACTTCAATGACCCCAAATACCCACAGCAGTGGCACCTGGTAAGTCCAGCCCTACAGTTTCCAGCTTCAGATGGGTAGGTTCTGGATATCCAATTCTCTTTTAAAAATAGTAATTAATTACTTCATTTATTTTATTGATTTAAGAGAGAGAAATATCAGTATGTTGTTCCGTTTATTTATACATTCATTGGTTGACTCTCGTATGTGCCCTGACCAGGGATCTAAACGCCACCTTGATGTATCTGGACAACACTAACCAACTGAGCTACCCGACCAGGGCTATCCAATTCTTTAGTGAACGCTGACTGTATGACTTTCCGGCTTGCCTGGAGAGACATTCTGTGGGCTTCGGTGGTGTGTTTCTTCCTCGGGCTCCATCTTCCCTGTGCTCATCTCTAGAGAGCCAGTGGGCTGCAGCGGTCAGGGCCTGGGTGCTGGGGCCAGGCTGCCTGGGCCCAAGTTCCAGCTCTGTCACTTACTAGCATGTGCCTTTGGGCGAGCTGCCTAACCTCTCTGTGCCTCAGTTTCCTTCTCTATAAGTGGGAGATTTTATTTTATTTTATTTTATTTTATTTTATTTTATTTTGGGGAGATTTTAAAAGTACCTCTTGTAGAGGTAGTAAGGATAAATGCATTAACATGTGTGTCCCTAACACATGATCAACACTGTGTAGTGTTAACTACTAACATTATATAATCTATATATATAACAGCCTAAGCGACCGTTAGGACCTAACAACTGGAATGACCCTGGCAGCCCCAAATCTGGTGCACCCGCACCTCGGACCCAGACAGGAGGGAGGAGGGAGCCCGATTCCTTATGGAATTGGCCGTTGGTTAGCTTGCTGCTGGGGCCAACCTCCCGTGGGTCCCTTCCCCCAGCAGGTCGTCCCCCCATCAGCCCCGATCACCGGCCAGGCCAAGGGACCCCACCCATGCACAAATTCGTGCACTGGGCCTCTAGTGTTAACATAATATACATTATGGAGCATAGTAATTGTACTAGCCAACCTTAAGCCTAGCCACCATTTCATCTATATTTTTTAAATCTTTATTATTGAAAGTATTACATATGTCCCTTATTTCCCCCATTGACCCCTTCTAGCCTGCCCCACCCCCACCCTACCATTTCATCTTTATTGCCCATGAATGCTGCCACCCTTTCCTGGAGACCTAGGTGGTGGCAAAGCTCTCACCTGTCCCTCCTTGACTCCGCCCCCACCTGGACCTATTGGTACACAAACTCTTTCTGGCTCTTCGATGGCAGCCAAGAGGAGAAAGGGGCCGCTAGCTTCACTGTGCACCGCTGGAGCTGTGCTCTGTCCCTGGATTCCCAAGGCTCTGACACAGTTCCTGACCCTGTCTGTCCTGCAGAATAACCGGCGGAGCCCCGGCAGGGACATCAACGTGACAGGTGTATGGGAACGCAACGTGACGGGGCGAGGGGTGACTGTGGTGGTGGTGGATGACGGAGTGGAACACACCATCCAGGATATTGCACCCAACTATGTGAGTGGCCCTGGGGTGACCCCTCCCACCCCCATTTCTCACCTCCTTCGTATTGCCTCAAGCTTGTCCCCTTTCTTAGAGGTCTAAGAGCCAAACAAAAGGGCCTGGTGGGATGGTGTTCATCTTCTCCTTCCCCAGCCAGCACTCCAGACTGGCAGTTAAGACGTGGAGTGGCTCTATCTCAATAAGGGAGAGGGTCCCAGGTGATACTGCCCGGGTCCGGTCGCAGCTCCCTGCCCTGGGAAGAAGGAGTAGAGCCCTAGGCAGTTACCCTCTCCACACAAGTTCTGAGCACTTCCTCTCTGACCCTGGCCTTTGGGTAGCCCTACATCGTTTTTATCCCAGGTTTCCAAGTGGTGGGGCAGTTTTCTACACACATTTCTATAATGGACAAGAGAGAAGTTTCCTAAGAACAGTGGCACTTCTCAGTTTTGCCCCGGGGTCCTGCCTCATATCTTGTAGCCCATGTGGTTTTCAGAGAGAGATGGTCTTGCTGCCCTGAGTTGGAGCCCAAACTCCCCTCTCTCTCTGAGCTCTAAGATCTGACCTCTTAGAACCAGTGAGTGACCACATGTTGCTCCCGCACAATGTTTCAGAGCCCTGAGGGCAGCTATGACCTCAACTCTAATGACCCTGACCCCATGCCCCACCCGGATGTGGAGAATGGCAACCATCATGGCACTCGGTGTGCGGGAGAGATTGCTGCGGTGCCTAACAACAGCTTCTGCGCAGTGGGAGTGGCATATGGGAGCCGCATAGCAGGTACCTTCCAGTCTAGCCTCAGTCGGTCTCCCCTGTGATAGCAGTCTTCATTCCCTACCCCAGCCCCTGGCTGTGTACTGCCTGTCCTACCCTCAACACACATGGCGTAGAACAAAGGGTAAGCTTATAATAAAGGTCTATAGGACGAATCAGTTCACTGGTATTTTTTTCAATGCAGCGGTGTTTTAGGCATGCGTTTAGCAGCAAACCCCGCCATATAAAACAGCTAAAAGTGGGAATGCTCTTGATGCGGGATGGAGGCCAGTCCCACCTGCTCAGTCGCCTCTTCCCTTTTCCTGATCTTGGTTGTACCCCAACTCATTACAATGATACCTCCTTTACTTACCTGTGCTATACTTGTATTTGCAATTTACCAAACACCTTCTCATCTGCCCTTCCTCCTTGACCCCGTGTGTCTGTGGAGGCTCCTCTCCCAGCTCTCCAGTTCCCAAGCTCCCAACCCTTCTGATGGTCGCTGTCTGCTCTCCATCCTTTCAAGAGGTCTGAGAAGCCCTGGCCTCCACTTGGGGGTGGTTCTGTGGCTCCTTCACCTCTCAGGCTTTGTCCATCAAGCAGAGGGTGAAGGGAATGAATGGGGAAACCCTCCCCATGATCCTCATAAATGCTTAGAACCCAGGAAATTGGGTGTGTTCCTCCTACACTCCAGCAGAGGGCAGCAGCCCTCTGTAAATGAGACTACAGGGGGAGCAAGAAGCCTTCAGGGTCCAAATCCCTTCTGAAAGCCCCATTGGTCCCTACATCGTCACCAGGACGTGACCACCCATTTTAGAGGGTGAAATTAGGCATCCAGGGAGTAGTTGATGGTAACGGGTACCTTTTATTGAGCGCCTTCTATGTATCAAGACCACACCCGTGTTTTACCTGATTAAGGATGCAAATAGGGAAACTTGGCTACCTACATTCTACCCTATGCCTTTCCCATCAGATCCCATGATCCTTAAAGTCTAAGATTTAGCATTATATTTAAAAAGTATTTCAGGATAGGTACATACACATGGGATAAAGAACACAAGCGCACTTAGAGGGAAAAGTAACTGTCCACATATGGCTCCCCACCCTCTAGGTCCCCAACTCGGGACGAGCATTCTTGAGGAGCTAATGTGGCCTTTGCTGCCTAGGTATCCGGTTACTAGATGGACCCCTGACAGACAGCATGGAGGCTGTGGCGTTCAACAAGCACTATCAGATCAATGACATCTACAGTTGCAGGTGAGAGGCCAGAGGCTTGGACACCTGAGACTAATTCTCCAACAAAAGAACAGCAAAATGAGCTGACGCCGGCAGGTTCCAGCAGGGGTCTCCTCCGTGGGTTCAGCCTATCAGCCCATTGCCCTCATTTCTCCAGATCCCTAGCCACGGGGTTCTTAGTCTTAAGCCTCATGTCACCCCAGTCATCAGGTTGCCACATGAGGAGTGCACCAGCTGTTTATAAGCTCATCGGCCTCTGGGAGCAAGTGGGCTTTCCTCTCCCCGAGCCAAGCTGAGTGCCCAGCACCAGTCCCCTTGCCCTGCACACAAGCACACCTGCAGCTTCAGGTTGTGGTTATGATGGGGTCAGGTGAGATTAAGGAGAAGCAGATTGGGCTGCCCCGTGGCACTGAGGGCACCTGTTCTTCTCCCTAGCCAGTACCTCCGTAAATCCATGGCATCCACAGTGTCATTTCCTCTTGGAGAAGGAATAGAGGCCTGTGGGTGCTCCTCCGTCAGGCCTAGTCAGAGATCCCAAATCAGGAGAGGGTGCCCCCTTGTCCCTGACCATGATGTCCTGTCTCCTGCTTCCTGGGACCTAAGAAAGGATTTTTAGGAGCAGGTTAAAGTAGTCCTCAATTGGGAAAGTTTCTAAGGGAAAGAACCTCAGCACATACTTCTCTCTTGCACTTGGAGTGGGGGCTGAACCTGCGACCCTTCTGACCTTTCATCATGGGAGGCCTGAACTGGAACCTTGAGAGGAGAGTGGGAGCCCAGGCAGGGGTGGCAGCCGAGCCTGGGGGCCTGGGAGGGCGCCACAGCCTGGTTCCGGCTCTCCCTCTGGTGTTTCTCCACAGCTGGGGCCCAGATGATGACGGGAAGACAGTGGATGGCCCTCATCAGCTTGGAAAGGTACCTGACCTGCAGGAAGCCTGGAGGAGACCCAGGGCGCACACTCCGTTCAGTTGTAGGACACTGCAGGTCACTCCCTCTCACCCCACCCCGTCTGCAGGGCTAGGCCTGTGCCACCTGACCCGGCCACCTCCTTTCGGAAGGGCACTCCTAACTGGGGACAGGAGGTGGGGCGGTCACAGGTTCTGAGAGAAATAGAACAGGCTTTCAGATGGCTCCCCATTTCTGGCCTCCCCTCCCGGATGAACAGAGTGCATCCATCAGCAACTGCTTAACTACCAGGTGCCTCCCCTTCCTGTGTCCACCTTAACCCTCCCTGGCCCAGTGCCGCTGGGCTGTGCGCCGTTCAGAGGGGAGGACAGGGCAGCTAGTAGGGAAGGAGGAGGTCTGAGTTTGCCAACTGATTGCCGGGCTTCTTGCTCCTCAGGCCGCCTTGCAACATGGGGTGATCGCTGGCCGCCAGGGCTTCGGGAGCATCTTTGTGGTGGCGAGTGGCAATGGGGGCCAGCACAACGACAACTGCAACTACGACGGCTACGCCAACTCCATCTACACGGTCACCATAGGTAGCAACCTTCTGCTTCCCTGTGCGTGTGCGTGTGCATGTGCCTGTGGTGAGGGGACTGTATCCTGGGTTGTGTGTGTGACTCTGTGGTGAGGTGAGTTCATCCTGGTGTGTGTGTCTGTGGTGAAGGGACTGTATCCTGGTGTGTGTCACTCTGTGGTGGGGGGACTGTATCCTGGTGTGTGTGTCACTCTGTGGTGAGGGGACTGTATCCTGGTGTGTGTGTCAGTCTGTGGTGAGGGGACT